CCTAGTTCATTGTTTTGTCTATATTACATTACAATAATAATATAAGCTGTGTTTCTGATAAAAAAATTGGTTATTACTAATTAATATTACTATATTGTTCAAACAGTAGAACACAATAAATAAATAATTTAAATTATAACACAATAATACGCAATACATAGTTGATTTAAATTAAATAAAACACAAATTAGATCAAAAATAATACTACTTCACAAGATTTATGCGCAAATACCTACGTCATGAACTTACGAGTTATGAGGTTACCTACAAACGCTTAGTAAGTTATATTTTGTATATTTATCAAAGAAGTTTAAAAGTTTTCGATTTATACTGTTTTGAAAAACCTGACCGAATAATTATTTATAAGCATATAGGAACAGACAATTTTCACGGTAAATGTTTGTTATATATTTTTTTTTTAAACAGTAAAAGTCAAGTAATTTTGAAGAATTATGATTATTAGTGTTAATATAAAATTATTTAATTAAGCAAGATGGAATGGGATATTGATACATAATACGATAATTTAATGGAGTCACAATAAGATGTATTTATATTTATGTATTTTTATTTATATTATTTTTTGAGATGTCTCGAAGATTACACAATGAACTCCCTAATAGGTTGTAGTTGTTTCATTATAAAATTAAAAATAGAGTATTCTTAAATTAGTCATTGACAAAATAATTTTATTCACAAACATAACTCCACAGTGAATAGGTATAGTTTTTTATTGGTTAAAGAAAGTAACTAATTACTATTTCATTTGTGGGGGGGGGGGGACATAGGAAAAATAAGTACACAAATTAAAGGAAATAGGTACCTATCAGAATATACCTAATTTAAATATCTTCATAAATTGTGTCCATTGTTAATAGTTGAAGAATTTTAATAACAGCCAACGAAGTTTTTTGGTAATTGCATATTCTTTTTTAAAGAAGTTTGTCTTTTCTTGTTGCAAACGAAAACGGGTTTAACAACCTGTAATCAATAATTTACATATTCAATTCAATTTGATAATATTACCATGATCAATTTGAATCAATTTTAACTATAAGCATAAGTTAAATATACAATTGAAAATATACAATGTAAAATTGTTTTAAAATTGTATGGTGTTGACGCGGCCCGCGTTAGTAGCAAGTACAATGTACAAGCACTATAGCGACCAGTCTATCTTATCTCCAACCACCACCACGGGGTGCAAGCAGCGCGACCGGGTTGACTCTCCCACCGAGCCGGTAACGGCAAGGTGGGACGGGGGGACTGTGTCGCGTAAAACGTACAACGGTCGGCGGAAAAGTCAATTCCAGATCCACCATCGGACCGTCGGACCGATAACATATCGTCCGACTCCGACGTTAAACTCATCTGCCCGAGCGGCACGTCATGTATTGTTATATTTTGGTCGCAATATTATAATACATAATTTGTGACATTCTTAAAGTGTTTGTGTTGTGTTTATTTCATCACCTCAATCCTAACCAAACACTTCGACCGGACCACGATCAACCTTGAAGCAATCATCGTGTCCGCGTCAAATGGCTCCCCGCAGAGGAATTAGTCCGGTCAGCGAAAAGGTAAGAGTTTTTCACGTTGACACATACCTCGGATTATTTGCTTATATCATTTAGTATTGAGATATTTAACCAGGAGTGTGTTTTTTCCGGTTAGCTAGGATTTCCAATCTACCCAAGTTAGGATTACGTAATAGCATTGAGTATAGATAGTATAGAGAAACAATGTATATGAAATATGGCCTACGCTTCCGGGGAGGCGGCTAGTAGATGGCGCCTTAAAGAATTCGTCGCGGAGGCGAAAACAGTGCAGTAGTTCTACATACTAATAATTATTGTACACTATCGCCAGCGTCAAATAAATCATTTCAATAATTACATAATATATTATCTATGTATAATATATTAAACAAATAATCTATGTGTATTCAAATATATATTTGCGTATCTCATCATTGTTCGTTACATTATAGGTACATGCCTATTCGTTAATGGTACTAATTTTATAAAATATTAATACATTATTTATAACGTACATAATATAAGTATTATTTTATTACCTACCTATTTATAACAATGCCGGGTGGTACTTGTTCTTATTTTAACTGCATGAAAAATCGAAGTAATAACAAAGGATTAAAGATGTTTAGATTTCCTACCGACAATTCATTGTCTAGAGAATGGATACTTAATTCAGGTTGATAATACATTAATACTTTATAATATTTTAATCATAATATATTGTATATATTAATATACTATATATTATAATAATTATATACATACAATATGTTAATTCGTAAAACCGCAATTAAATAGGTAAATATATTTTATAATAATTTTTTAAGGAAATATTACTTTGGATTTGTTGTCTCCTAAAAAACTAAGAAACAGATATTTATGTGAAAATCACTTTCAAAATAAGTGTTTTACCAACCCTAATGACAAATCTCGTCTGAACTATGGTGCTTTACCAAAAAAGTATACAATGGCCAACGGTAAAGGAATTTTTTAAAAATTGTTTTTATTATTTATAAACAGTAGAAATCGTTATATTGAGATTCAAATTAGGTACACATGCAGTTTAGTTCCCACGCGATTTTTCGATTTCCCCCCCCCCCTCCCCAAATTTGTGTTTTAAAGCACTGAATACAAAAGTTTAATTCAAAAATTCTCGTAAATTATTATTTTGGAAGTTATATTTTTCCAAAGTTTACGATTTTACGTAGTTACCTATGCATGCACTTTGCCGAGGAGCGTAGTGACGAGTGCCGATACACGCGTAGTCACTGCCCAAGCAAAATAACATTTTTATTTAAATTTTCACATATCCATAATTGTTTTGTCCCTGTTACCTACTTGATGTGGTTTTGCATAACAAGTCGGGGGATATTTTCGATTTGCGGAGTGGAGTGACGATACACTCGTATAGTCACTGCAAGAGATATTAAGCTGTGATATTGTGTAAATTTTGATTGAATTTACGAGTTTTTAAGTTTTTAATTTTTAGTTTTTAAACAGCAAATACGATAATTAAAATCTATTTGCATATATCCATCTATCATAAAAACATACAAGTTTAAAAATAATCAGAAAGTTTTTTCGATGTTTTTATCGATAGGATATCACGTATTTTTAAAAATGTACTGTTTTATAGTTTTTATTTATGGTATAACTTTTGAAGTAAAAAATGCGAGAATTTTTGAATCAGATTTTTGTATTCAGTGCTTTAAAACATTCATTATGGGAAAAAATAATCGAAAAAATCGCTTGTTAACTAAACTGCATTTGTTCCTCAAATTATTTTGATATTAATTAATTTATAACTTTTAAGTTAAAAATATTTGTATTATCACATGCCTAAAATATATTTTATAAAAAACATATAGTATTTTGAATAATTTCATAACGATTAATGACAAAATTACTTGATGTTAGTGCATTAAAATAGTCTTAATTTTTAATTCCCAATGAATGATTCTACGACATTTCAAAGAATTATTATTCTATATTTTGTATTAATAAATATTATATAATATTATATCATTTTTTTTTTTTAATTAAGACGATGTTGATAATAATAATGTGATTATCAAAACTACCAAATCAACTTCAAATTATACACCACGAAAGTTATTTACTAGGACAGGTAATTGTTTGATTAAATTTTGATAATATTATAGTTTGGTTTTGCTATCTTTTAAAACTTAATAGAAAAAATTATTAAAAATGTTGATATTGTTTAAACTGACGCACAGTGGTCAAAACTCTATTTTAGAGGCTCAAAAGTCCCATTTCAAAATAAAAATATCAAAACTCTATTAGCATAAGTTCCTTAAGTCAAATATAAAATTTCTTAATCATACGTTTATTTTTAACTTGTTTATACCTATATCAACGTGGAAATTGTAAAGCGTTTTTCCCGTTATTTTTAATGAAATTATATATATTTTTTATAAGGGAAATACAATATCTTTCCGAATTTTTTTTTATTATTATTCTATTGTATTGTATTTATTTTTATTCTAATTTCGAAACATTTATAGAAATATCAATTATTATTATTAAAAATTTATAAAATGTACAATGTTTATAACTAAGGATTGAAAAGATTCTAGTGTATACAGTATAATTCATACTGTAACCAAAAAAATTTAAAAAATGTATAAACAAAGTTTATTTTTACAGACATTTAAAATTCAAATTTGAACGAAATTACATAATATTAAACCCAAGAATAAAAATTTTAATTATTTTGTCGTAATTTAAAAACATTTTTCGTAAATATATGAAACTTTTAGATTACATTAGGTTGGCCCTTTTTCACTTTTATATTTTTGTTGGATTATATTTTCCTTCACCACCTTAAGACATGCCTTGACTAAATGTCCATAAGTTCAATATAAGTGTAGTATAATTTTTTTTCCAGAAAATCCGAACGCCGACGACATTTTATCACCTGTGCAACTAACACTATTAACACCTGAACAAACGTACTCAAGAACTCAAAAAACGTCCCCTGATTTAGAAAATTTGCAATTAAATAGCCCTACATTTTCTATTTCTCCAAAAACAAAATCATATATTTCTGAGCTAGTTCAATTTCCCAGTCCACAAATAAAAAAAAAAGAACACAAATTGGAAAAGGTTTTAGAATTATGCAAAAAGCAAAAGAAATTGTTAGGACAAAAAAGAGCTAAAATATGTTTGTTAAAAAAACAACTGAATAAATGTAAAACTTCTAAAAATAATATAAATCCTAAATATTTTCTTAACACAGCTTCATTTCGTTCTAAAAATTCTAAAGCCTTAGTGTCAATGCAGCTATTACATAATAAAAAAAGACGCTGGTCACAACGAGAAAAAAATATTGCTGTATCTATTTACTACAAGTCTCCAACAACATACAAATATTTAAGGAAAAATAATGTTGTTTTACCGGGAGTTAGTACTATTCAAAGTTGGTTAAATTCTATAAAATACATGGCTGGATATAATGCAGAATACAATGCTCAGTTAAAAATAATGGCAAAAACTATGTCAGTTCAAGAAAAAAAATGCGTTATTTTAATTGATGAAATGTCTTTAAAAAGTTGTTTGGAATATAATGAATCCCTTGACATGATTGAAGGATATGAAGATTTTGGAAATTTACGCCGTTCAGGAAAGTCGGCTAAACTTGTTTTAGTGGTAATGATTCGAGGGTTATGTAATAACTGGAAATTACCATTATCATACTATTTTAGTTCAACAGGCGTAAAAGGAAACCAATTAGCAGAAATTATGAAACAAACTGTCGAAACTATAGTAAAACTTGGATTTTCACCTGTTTGTATAACTTGTGATCAAGGTACAGCAAATCGTAAAATGTACACTTTACTTGGTGGTAGTTCAGAAAATCCATTTACGGTAATAGGAGGAAGACAATTATTTTTGATTTACGATGTCCCACACTTAGTTAAAAGTGTTAGAAATAATTTGTTGACTGGGAACATTGTAATAAATAAGAATGGTCAAAAAAAAATAATTGATTTCGAAGACTTCAGAAATACCTACAAAATAGACAAGACTAGTAAAACAGCAAGAGCTTTATGCAAAATAGACGAACGGCATTTATATCCAAACGCTTGGCAAAAAATGAATTGTAAACTCGCCATTCAAGTTTTTAGTCATACTGTTTCTGCTGCTATAAAAACGTGTGTGGGAACTAATCAATTAATTTCACCAACTGCACTAGATACGGCAGATTTCTTTTTAGAAATGAACAATTTATTTGATGCATTGAATAGCAAAAACTTGTATGATAAAAATCCTAACAGAAGGCCCATGTCTGAAAATAACGATAATATAATTAAGATATTGCGTAATTCGTTGGAAACATTTAAAAATGCAGAAAAAAAAAATAAAAAAACGTCATCTCAGGAAACAAATAATAATCCACCATGTTTTATAGGTTTTGTTTGGACAATTAATGCCGTTTTACAACTGTATGAATCAGAAAAAAATGAAATGGGACAATTCTTCTTGATCACTAATCGGCTTTGTCAGGATGCTCTTGAAAATTTATTTTCTATTTTTAGGCAAAAATGCGGCTATAACAAAAATCCCACCTGCAGGACCTTTAGATGTGGATTTTCAAGTATATGTTCATTTAGCTTATTAAACTGTACTTCAGAAAAGTCTAATTGCGAGGAAGATAATGATACATTTTTAACACCGAATATATTATCAAATACACCTTCTCCATCGGTGGAATTAGAATTTTTAGATACAGTTGATGAAAATAAATCAACAGAAGTTGATTTAGTCAAAGAAATTGAGGTAGATGAAGACAGTGAAATATATGATTTGGATTTGGAGTATGAACGTAATAATGAGGGTGGTAGTTTAGAAGAATTTGCCGTTATTTATTATGCAGGATATTTAGCAATGAAGTGTTTGAAAAAATTTGACTGTGAAAAGTGTCACACAACATTATTACACCCTGACAAAATGTTGAATGACAAGAATCAACTTTTGTTAGTTCATAAAACATACAATGTAAACTTTGATATTGATAAAGGATTAAAAGTACCATCAAAACAGTTAGAATTATTCACTAAAATATGTCTAGATACATTTAAGACCAAATTTCCTATTGTTAAAAGTCACAGTAATCTATTGAGCAAATTAATTGATTTTGCAACCACAAATATAACACGCTGCTCCAATATCAACATCCAAGATGAATGTTCAACACATTATAAATATATAATGAAATTGTTATTTGTAGTAAGAATTCACAAAGAATGTAAATGGACAAGAAATAACAATAGAACCTCCATATATAATGGTACAAATAAGCCAAATGCTAAACTCAGGAATATTCAGAACTTATAAATAATTAACATAAATGTAACAGGTTATTTTATTTCTTAAATATTAAACCTTTTAAATTGCAAATTAGGTTTATAGTAAATGTATATTATATTTTACATTTAGGTATTGACATTTGTTAAAAAAATAATTTAATTCATTAAATTTTCATTTAAACTCTACTTCAGTTTCAAAATTATTTTAAATGTACATATCATATTTTTATACATATAGATATATTTTATTAATTACTTTATTCGATTTTATTAATACATTTTATACAAATTTAATTTCAAGTAGGTACATACTTACTATAATATGTATACCTAAATTATTTAAGTTAAATTTACTTGGTTGTGACAATACCACCTTATTATCTACATATATAATTTATAATTAATAATTAATACATCTTTATAATTTAATATTATATTTATTATCTTTATTTATCTTATTTTGTGTGTGTGCCATCACCGTTTTGGGCAGTTAATCTGCTTCGATTTTTTGATATAGTCAAAATTTAAAATTACCAATAGTTTTTAAAAGCGCAAGGAAAAACAAAATAAAAATGAAAGAAAAACGTGAATTTTTACGCATAATCGGTTTTGACAAAATCGATTTTGGTTTTTGGTGTTAGGTACTCTAAAACAACCCACCAAAATAAAAATATTATATAAATCATTTTGAATATAAATACAAAAGCGAAAAAGGTCAAGATTATAAGATAAAATATATGTACTTGATTCAAAATTTTAGAACTTGTGATGATGTGGTCACCCATCCAAAAAAATAAATAATGAATTTAAGTGGGTTCGATCTAAACTAACCGAATATGAATACAAAATAGATGTACAAATAAAATTGTTATTTTAAAAACAACTGAAAATCGTAAGTTATGATCTTTTAAAACGGTCACCCATCCAAAAAAAAAATTCATTTGAAATTTGAATATAAATATATTCATAAATCGAATAAGAAGAAAATTATATTTAGGAAACACAGTTTTAATTTGCCAATTTTTAAAACCAGTCTAGAAGTGGTCACCCATCCAAAACAATAAATAATGAGTTTAAGTAGGTTCAATCTAAACTAACCGAATATGAATAAAAATATAAGTATAACTGTTTTCCACTAAACAGATTCTTGAAAATCGTAAAAATATTTTTGAAAGCGGGCACCCATCCACGAAAAAGTACACTGTATTATTACATAATGTTACTTACACTCAAAGTCTTATAATTTTAATAAGATAATCATTAAAATAAAATGTTTTAAATAATGTCGATTTTCAGTTTTTGAGACGGTCACCCATCCAAAAAAAAATGTGTTTTTAATTAGTAGTTAAAATCAAATACGAACATTAATTTTTAAAAAATTGTATTGACAAAAAGCCGATTTTCTACAATGTCAGAAAAATGTTTAGATGGTCACCCATCCAAACAATATATTTATAAATAATAAAATAACAATATTATTATTATTGAGCCATCACTAAAAATTTAATTTATTTGGGTATGTATTTTATGGCATTAAGACGACTGTAAATGGCAACATGTCATCGTTCGATTTGGCAACGTCAAGTGATGAGCAGGTGCGTCTAGCGCGTCAAATAAATTATTATGTAAAACAATAATATTATAAAAGTAATTTTATTATTATTATTATTTTACTGCACCTATTAAAAAATAAAGTAATATTGTTAATTACTGGTAGCGCGCTCTATTGCCAGCGACATTGAACTAATCTAGCGTAGCATAAAATATCGAGCACTGTTTCTCTATACTATCTATACTCAATGGTAATAGGTATTAACCATTAGGTATAACTCTGCTACGTAGGGGAAATCCGCGCGATCGAAAATAACCGTGATACGGAATGGGAAGCAGTTACATTTACATAACGTATTGCCACCCTTCCCGGCGCTCACCTTTCGTCTGCGACTTTATTGCCGATAACAGCGCAGCGCGCAGACCGCGACGTCAAAACCAGTCGTCGTCACCGCCGCCGCCGCCGCCGCCGCCGCCGATTCCGTGACCTAGTTTCGCTATATTTGGAACACATCGGCGGCCGTCAACAGCTGACCATTGTTTACGTCGGCGTAAATTATTTGATAATAGTCGTTCAATACTCGCGTATTCACGCATGTACACCCACACACCACCGATTTTGGAAGACACTGACGCTAGCGATTGGTATAGGCCACCGTCCGGGGACAACATTGCTAGCTTTAGGGCTATGTAAATATCCACGGACGGCCAGCCGGTACACAACAATCCAAGCTCCAGTCGACCACAAATCAGGCAGGGACCGCGCACGTATAGAACGACAAACTTTTCAAAGCCGCCTCGGAATCAAAAAAAAAAAAAAAAAAAAATATCGACGTAATCGTTACACCAATCGACCGAAACGAAAACGTTCGAGTCACGTTGGCTGGCGCTGTAAGCTAGCATGGCGAAGTTCTTCACGGAACAGCCAACAGCGTACAGCAGCCACACAATTTTGAGATCCCGTGGCCTATCAACCACCCGTCACCCGTACACGTTACCACTCGCACACACGATGGTTACCAGTCGGGTAGGTCGTTCGAGTAGGTACAACGTAGTCAGCGCCCAGCCGGGTGTCAGTTACATTGCCACCTTAAATGAACGACCTTTTTCAACGACCACTCTGGTCAAACGGGAAGCGCGTCGCGCTACCCGTCATACGCCGCACGCGCGCAGGTACGATCGGTGTTAATACCGAGTTCTACGCGGAACAAGGGCCGAGCACCCTGTCCGGTTTTTAGCCAACACCGAGTCGTTACTCACGCAAGCGCGTAGACACTAAAACGTCCACACAATCACTTACGGAATTTGTGCTGATTTAAAACCAGCTCGCGCCCCGCACGTTAATACTGGCCTATCCGAATCGGAGTAGGTAGGTGTTATCGTCCGGCGAACGCGCGACACTTTCCGTAGGTACACATATCCGGCTACATATAACATTTACGTTCAGCGTGCTTCGACGCATAGCAGGCGTTTTGACTTCGTGTCGGATAATATCTCCACCCACCTCTCGTCACCCATCATACCATATTTTCGGTAGTACGGACGGAGAAAAATTATGCCATCATCGCGCACGTAGTTCGGTAATTCGTAACGACGAAAAACCAACTACGAATTTTTCCGTCAACACACCACCTATCGGCACCCACTCTTAAATCCCAAACCTACACCACCCCACCACCCACCACACTCACCTCACCGGTGACACGTGTGGTCAACATCAACGGCTTATGGGGCAGCCGCAGGTGTAGGGACAAAGGTAACAGAGCCACGGGTGTTCACCTGCAAAGGTGATGGGGGCGCAAGCACACCAACTTCGCACACCCCCGCATTATAGGTCATTCTGTATATGTAAAGCATCAGGCGAGCACCGAGACAACCGACAGGGACAGTTTGGTCATGGCGGTCAACACCGACCACCAATCAGTCTCTGTCGCGGTTCAGAACCAGTTGCCCCGCTCGACCGATTGCAATACGTCTAATAACGTCACACGAACACGCCCGGACAAAATTCCGACCCACCGAGGTCGAACACGAATTTCCGTCAGGCTTCGTAACGGCGCTATTAGATCCACAGACCCAAATCGTACGTAAACCCGACCATAAGAAAATAATGGTTAAAAATCTTCAAATCCCAATTTCTATCTGGCATAGAATTAGTGATTGAAAACAATGCTCAGTAAATTAGTAAATATTATGGTCAGAGGCTGTCAACATAATCCAAACCACTTGTCTGGGATAGAGAAGTAAAATAAATATTAGTGATTAACGGCAACATCGGTACTACTCTGAGCTCCACTAATAAATCGCATCTAAGAGGTAAAATATTTTTTACAACTTGATATTTTCAGAACATTTGGAAGAACAGTTGGAATAAAATGGACAGACGACGAATAAAGGATTTTTAGGCCATACAGTTGATAATTTTGATTCACCCAGAAAAGTCTTAGCTGGTACTCAATAATGTCTGATTCACACACACATATGTAAGTTTATCACTCAAGTATCCAATTTTAAATGTTTGCCAAAACCAAAAGTTACTTAATAGTTTATCGTTTTTAGTTCATACAATGGATTATTCTTGTTATGGTTTTCAAAACTGAAATATATGATGTACCACATACAAGGAACTAGGTAGTGGAGACAATGTATTGACAATTTTTCAGACGTTACTTTCTTGAAGATAATTCAACCGACTCAGATGAAGCCATACAATATTGGAGCGAATTATGAAACTTAAAGGTGAGAATATTGTTGATAGGTTTTTATTCCAAATCTATTTTATTGTCCTATTAACTAATATTAACTTATTTAAAAAATATTTTTTCCTTTAAATTTGATTATAATATTATGTCATATCTCTCTAATATATTAAGACTAACGGTACAAAACTGGATCTACTGTACTCAAATTTGCTTGCAAAAGGTGCATTGACATATTGTTAACAAAGTTTTAATTTTTAGGTAATACAATTTTGCTGAGCAAGAATCTAATTTTAACAACGCAGAGAGTCTCAACAAATTTAAATTGCAAAGAAACACATAACTAGTTTGGTCATTGGTATCTTTTCTGAAGGGATAGTGCATCTAGATGGATGCGTTAATCAGGTAAAGATTGAGTATTCCCAGTTGTTTTCAAATACATGAGGAAAAACAAAAAGATAATTAGGGAAAAATGATTATATTTTTGACAAAAATTGATTTTGTTTTATGACAAATAAAAAAATTCCTAGGTATAGATACATGATTTGTTCACCGAATGTTCCTATAAGCATTTTCTATACACTGACGCGTACACGATGATTGCTTCAAGGTTGATCGTGGTCCGGTCGAAGTGTTTGGTTAGGATTGAGGTGATGAAATAAACACAACACAAACACTTTAAGAATGTCACAAATTATGTATTATAATATTGCGACCAAAATATAACAATACATGACGTGCCGCTCGGGCAGATGAGTTTAACGTCGGACGATTTGTTAACAATATGTCAATGCACCATTTGCAAGCAAATTTGAGTACAGTAGATCCAGTTTTGTACCGTTAGTCTTAATATATTAGAGAGATATGACATAATATTATAATCAAATTTAAAGGAAAAAATATTTTTTAAATAAGTTAATATTAGTTAATAGGACAATAAAATAGATTTGGAATAAAAACCTATCAACAATATTCTCACCTTTAAGTTTCATAATTCGCTCCAATATTGTATGGCTTCATCTGAGTCGGTTGAATTATCTTCAAGAAAGTAACGTCTGAAAAATTGTCAATACATTGTCTCCACTACCTAGTTCCTTGTATGTGGTACATCATATATTTCAGTTTTGAAAACCATAACAAGAATAATCCATTGTATGAACTAAAAACGATAAACTATTAAGTAACTTTTGGTTTTGGCAAACATTTAAAATTGGATACTTGAGTGATAAACTTACATATGTGTGTGTGAATCAGACATTATTGAGTACCAGCTAAGACTTTTCTGGGTGAATCAAAATTATCAACTGTATGGCCTAAAAATCCTTTATTCGTCGTCTGTCCATTTTATTCCAACTGTTCTTCCAAATGTTCTGAAAATATCAAGTTGTAAAAAATATTTTACCTCTTAGATGCGATTTATTAGTGGAGCTCAGAGTAGTACCGATGTTGCCGTTAATCACTAATATTTATTTTACTTCTCTATCCCAGACAAGTGGTTTGGATTATGTTGACAGCCTCTGACCATAATATTTACTAATTTACTGAGCATTGTTTTCAATCACTAATTCTATGCCAGATAGAAATTGGGATTTGAAGATTTTTAACCATTATTTTCTTGTATTTCATTGATTTTTTGGAAATCTACATTTGTGAACAAATAAGCAAATTAGACTGACTCCATATTATTACGAAATATAATCAGTACAACTAGAAAATAATAGGTACCTACGTCCTACGTCTTACAAGTGAAAATTAACGTAATGTGTGAGATACATTACATGTTATACTAAAAAAATACACTTATACATGGTGATTTTGTACTAAAATGCATGAATGAAATAACAGAATGTACGACTGTTCTGTAGGCTGTATTTTTGTTCAAATTTCAAATAAGCCAGTGATTCAAATTTAAAGTTCGTAAACGAAAAAATAATAATATTATGTTGTTATTTATTTGATAACAATTATTACTATCTATCATAGTTCGTAGTGGTACATAGTGATAAGACAGAATGGCGGGCATTAAATTTGACCGAACTCCGAAATTTCTTGAACGATGCACCTCCACGATTTAAGACGTAACACGGGCATTTTATAGTCTCCAGACCCGCCCGGAGAGGGGTCAGGTGGTGTAAATAATAATTTACAGCTGAATAATATCAAAAATCATAAAAATTATTAGTTCAAACTCATTAAATATTAATGTTTCGTTTAAGTATACTTTTTTTTTCTTGTTATAGGTAGAAAACGTATGTGAAATCTTCTATTATAATTTTTAATCTTAGCTATGAGAAGAAAATCTTTTATACATTTTTAACTGAAAAATAATTCATAAAAATAAAAAATTTCTGGAGGCTATAAAAAGCTCAAAAATTGTAAAAGTTGTCTATACAATTTACCATGTTTAGAAATAAGTAATTTTAATAGTTCATGACAATTTCAATTATTTAGGGTTATTCGTTTTTGCATTACAATAAAACACCAAACATTTATAAATAAAAAGGTGCTCTGCTGTACAGTAAGTATTACAAGTGGGTCACTGTATAATGTATTAAATTTGAATTCAATGCTGTGATATCATTATTGTATAAGAAAAACGATTCTGAGTGGAGAAGGTATAAGACATATTATTATATACTTATCTATGGTATTAAAAAAATGACCTATAATAGGTACCTATAATAAATTCCAAATTAATCATATCACAATATCCATTAGGTACCTAGTTATAACTCGTTATACATCAACAACAAACCCTGATACTATCATGGATATATAATAGTGTACTTTAGAAGTTTCAAGTACCCACGAATAATGAAATACAATCACAACAAAATTTGTTTATTATGATATTTCGTCCAAATTTGAACTTAAAATGACTATAAATATTGATATTTATGGAAAAAAAAATTAAATAAATTGAAAACTGTAAATCTGTATCAAAATCTCGAAAATTATCAATCATCGTAATTAATAATTTATAAAATGTTCAGTTTTTATAGCTAAGGATTGCAAATTTAAAACAAAGGTTCTCATAAATAGTTCATACTGTAACCAAAAAATATAAAAAATATATGAACACACTTATTTTTTACAGATATTTTAATTTCAAATTTGGACGAAATTACATATTAAAAACCTAGAATAACTATTTTAGTTACTTTGTTGTGATTGAATAATATTATTCGTGGGTACTTGAAACTTCTAAAGTGTACTATTATATATCTATGATAGTATCAGGGTTTGTTGTTGATGTATAACGCGGTATAAGTACCTAATGTATATTGTGATATGATTAATTTAGAATTTATTATAGGTACCTATTATAGGTCAATTTTTTGTTTAATACCATAGATATGTATATAATATGTCTTATACCTAGACTGACATACCGTCTCCACTCAGAATCGTTTTTCTTATACAATGATATTATATCATTGAATTCAAATTTAATACTATCCATTATACAGTGACAGACTTGTAACCTACTGTACAGAAGAGCGACACCCACTTGCCCACCTTTTTATTATGATATTTCGTCCAAATTTGAACTTAAAATGACTATAAATATTGATATTTATAGAAAAAAAAAATTAAATATATTGAAAACTATAACGACTTAGTAACGTTTAACAAGTGATGGGGACGCTCTTTTTTTTAAAGTTAACAGAGTCCCTCTACTTTAATTTTGTCAAATCAAGCACTCAGTATAAGTCATATCTTATATACCTATATAAAAAACTCGTGTCACAGTGTTTGTCCGGGATAAACACTGAAACTACTGGACTGATCTTGATGACATTTTTTACACTAAGTCTAATTTGGTCTTAAAAGATAGGCTAATTTAAAAAGGGTTATAAAAAAAAACAAAATTACAAATTGTTTTTACATATGTAGCCACATAGGTAGTCATTGGCGCAACTAGGGGGGGTGCTTTGGGTCCTTAGCACCCCCCAAGTCAAAATTAGCACCCCCTAAAAAATAGTTTAAAAATTTGAAAAAAAAGTTAAAAATTTATCGAATTACAATAATTATAAGTTATAACACAATAATAATTTTTATAATATAACATTTTGTTATTTATAATGTTGAATTATCGGATGTGTTGATTTTAATTTAGTGGAAATAAGGATGCCGAAGCGGCCTAGTTATTTTAAATAGTCTGTGCTATATAATATATCTGTATAGTATATTTATCAGTACCTACCTAACATACTAATATAATCTGGTATTGGTATTCCCCGAGGGACGGAAATATTCTCGTCATAATGACGTCTGGCATACGGGCTATACGCCGATACGCCACAACTTACGTATTAGTGTATTACGTATGTGGTGTGTTAGAGGCGTTTCTTATATAGTTATATTATTATTGCTAAAAATTATATATTGATCGATATTGCATCGTCAATTGTATGTTTATTACGACTTACGAGTGTTAATTAATCGATTTTAATCATGTTTTCAATCTTTAATTTTAAAAACCAAGTTAAACAAAATACATCAACAAAAAATTTGGACGAGACTGTCGAAACTCATGGTGATGAATCAAAAGCAAAGAAAATATGTAACCATGAACAGAACGATGGACATAATGATGATGATGAAAACATTCAACTAAAAAATAATGTTTTAAATTTGAATATACAGTCTGTTGATTTGGGTGATATTGATTCGGGCCCAAAGCAACCTAAACTTCAAGTAAGTAAAAATGAAATAAATAATAATTAACTGTAATAAGAATAAAACAAGAAATCACACGATTCTTGATTAATACATACTGACGTTTGACATATTAAATTGTTTTGACATACCAGGTGTCTTATATTATTTTATTTTACAAAAAAAAAGTTGAAGCATTTTTTTTTTCTAGATATTTCCACTTACAAAATTTGGACCTCAAAATAGAAGTTTTAATGCTAAACACTATAGTGAATTTGAATGGTTAGAATATAGTGTGTCTCGTGATGCTGTTTTTTGTTTTAATTGTATTCATTTTGCAAAGAATGTAAAAACTGACAATTTAATTACAACTGGATACAACAATTGGAGAAAAGTATGTTTTTTGTTTGGATATTTATTTCTATAAATTAAAAATAATTATTATTTAGTGATCATAGGCATAACGATAACATGTTCAACAGAAGTAAAATAAGTTGATTAATAAAAACTATGTATATATATTTTTTACTTTTATATTTTTAATTCATTATTTTAGTTGAATGAAAAGTTGTTAAAACATTCAAAAACTGTTCAACATTTAACATCAACTGTCCAGTATAATAGCTATAAAAGCTCAAAATTGACTGGCACTATAGTTACTCAATTATCAACTGCTAAAAAAAATGAAATTTTAAAAAATAGACAGTATATGAAAGTTCTTATAAATATAACCCTCTTTTGTGCTAAACAGGGACTTGCTCTAAGAGGTCATGATGAAAAGTCATCAACAGTTTCTAATACTGGTAGGAAGATATGTTTTCATTTTAGTACCGCTACTATCACTTATAGTATAATAGCTTGTAAATCATAAATTATTTATCTACAGGAAATTTTAAAGAGCTTTGTACATTATTTGCAATGAACGATAAAGAGTTTTCAGACTTTTTTAACAGAAAAATTAACTATACAAGTTGGATTATTCAAAATAGTATACTTGAAGTTTGTTCAAATATGACAATAAATACTATCATTAGTGAAATAAAATACTGTGGAATGTACTCTATTATGTGTGATGAAGCAAGGTAATACACTATTACCACAGATTATATTTTTTCCTATTACTTAGAAATAAGTTAGTAGGTAATATATTTTAATATAATTTTATTTTCATAATTTTTTTTCTATTAGATCTTATAAAACAGAACAATTATCAATATGTGTTAGATACATTATTCCTAATAGCTATAATGTATGTGAACGATTTATTGGATTTTATGATGTATCAAATGGGAGAGGAGCCGAACATATTTCTATTGAAATTCTCTCTGTTCTAAAAAAATTTGGCATTTCTGATATTCCTCTTGTGGCACAAACATACGATGGTGCAAATGTTATGTCAGGATCCACATCTGGTGTTCAAACTAGAATAAGAGACTCTCACCCTGAAGCAATTTTCATTCATTGTATGGCCCATAAATTGAATTTGGTTGTAACAAATACTTGTAGAACTATTAAGGTGCATAACAAATAATAATAAATACTTAAATAATATTTAATACATTTTTATGTACGTTACAATTTATAATATATGTACCCATTATTTTTTATAATCAATTTAATCATTATCTTTTACAGGAATCTAATACCTTTTTTAATACTCTAGAAGCAGTTTATGTGCATTTTTCACAGCCTGGCAAAGATAAGCTATTACAAGATTTACAGAAATCCATGCAAATAAAATCATTATCGATTTCTAGATTATGTGAAACGCGGTGGTCGTGTCGTCTTAAAAATTGTAAAGCAGTACATAATAGTTTTGGTGTAATAGTAAATATTTTACAAAATGAAATAAATGAAGATACAAACAAAGAAGTGGCTCAAGCAATTGGTAATAATTTAATATATTACTTTGTATTTTATATTAATATAAGTATACTATGTAGACTATAATAACTTGAGTATAATATAACTATAAGACATTTTGTTCAAAGGTCTTCTGCACATGTTAAAAAAAATGTCATTCGTATTATATTTGTTCATTTTTGAAGAAATCTTAGGAATAATAGATATATTGAGTAAAAAATTGCAAAAAAAAGAAGGAACAATTGGAAATGCTGTTATTGAAATTAATGCTGTGATAAAAACAATTCAAAATATGAGAAATGAAAAATCATTTGATGTCTTATGGAATAATGTGATACAGTTTTTATTGAAACATGATATTGATGATTCACATAATACACCTGGACCTGGTCAGTAATAAAAGTTATCAAATATAATAATATTGTTTTAAACATAATTATACTTTGGAATATGCTTGGTATTTATTGAATTATTATTTTGAAATTGTTTAGGTGTAATTATGTCATCAAAAAGAAAACGAAAAGAATCTATTAAACTTAAAAGTTTTCATGTTTCTGTTACAACTGGTGCTGGAGGAAATGACATCTGTAATCAAGGTGTTGACATGAATAGAACAGAAAACTATAAACAATATTGGTGTTCTCATGCATATTATGCTGTATTGGATGCAATTATAGGCCACTTTGAGTTAAGGTTTTCAAAAGAGAGTTTGGAACTTGCAAATTCAATAGATAATTTCATTAAATTAAATATGACTAAAAGCATGATGTTTATTGATCATTACCAAGTAAGTCAATTAATAAATACATATAAATGGAATGTAATAATTGTTTAATACAATGATGTATTATTGTATTAAACAATTATTACATTTATTATAGATGTATTTCTATAATAAATTGTAAGTAATTATTAATTTATTTTATTAGGCATTGTTTTCTATTGATAAAGAAGCATTACGTTCTGAAATGACTGTAGCACACAACTGTGCCATACAGTTAAAACCAAATTTTGGTTTAGAAGAATTAAAAACCATTATTTCAAAAGAAGTCTATCCTAATATTCATTCCTTACTTAAAGTAGCCCTGATACTACCTATCAGTTCTGCATCGTGTGAACGATCTTTTTCAGCCATGCGTCGTATCAAAAACTGGACTAGAACATCTATGACACAAGATCGTTTTGGTTATCTTTCTGTATTGCACATCGAGAGAGATATTGTTAATAATCTAGACCTCAATATTATACTAGACGAATACTCAAAGAAAGACCGTCGTATAGATTTAATATTATAGTAAAAAATGTAAATAAAATATATTATATATCATGTAGAAAAATAATAACATATAAATTGATATAATATATTAATATTAATAAAAAAATTAAAAATTAAATCAAAAAAAATAATTTTAAGTGACTTTTTGTTCTGGGTCCACATCAAGTATGACTTTTTTTTTGTTTCTGTTTTTAAAAACAATTTGTACTGTCCTGTGTAGACACAGAACTATGGTTTTTGTTTTGTTTTAGTGGTTAATATAGGCAAATAGTGGAGTTGGGTCCCATCGAGTCACAAAAAAACCTGGAGCTTAAGCACCCCCTACTTCAAATGTCTAGTTGCGCCAATGTAGGTAGTACTTTATTAGTTTCCGCCGAGTGAGTATCTATTATACACAAAATTATTTTTATTTTTATATTGATGGTTGATATTTGATTAATTAAGATTATGCATAGGTATGGCTATATTTATATATAAGTTACTTAACTAAATATAATTTAATAAAACCAATTAAATACAGGTATGTACAATGCAGCTGATGATGTCAATAAATGTTTTTTTCATTTTTGTAGTATTCCTATTCTATTTTATATCTGCCACCGCTAACCATATAAAAGTCCACTATGTTCTATAGAAAATACATACCGATTTACATATTGTACGAAATGATTTTTAACTTATTAGCATCGCTTAAAAAAAATTCTGATTTTTAATTTGGAGTGAAAACCATCGTTTTGGAATTTTCAAAACAAATAGGTAGACATTTTTTTTCTAATTGTACTGTTTATCACCTCAATTTATCGGACTACGCTGGTACCTACTACCAACAGAGTACATACTACAAACTGAATATATCTATCGTATCACCAAACTATTATTCTTGTTGCTAATAACAGTTTGTTTATAATTTTACTATTCTGAATTAAACAAATAAATTAATTAACTAATATAGGCTATAGCCCATTATTGTGGTGGCGCAAGGGAGGTGGGGGGTCCGGACCCAGGGACTCCCCTGGTTGTGCCACTGGTGCTCTTATTGTTTTGGTTATAAATTGTTACAATGAAAATACCGTATTCAGATACTGAATGATACGTCTATAATATGGAGATACTGTATTTTTTCAAGTTAATTTTTCTTGCATTACACAATCGCAATAGGTAAAAAGGCAGTTTAAAAATAGAAATAAATGAAAATAATTGATCAAGTATAAAAAAAAAAAACTTTCAAAATAATTAATCCTTTGAATAACCAGAAATGCAAAAAAAAAGAGATTGAAAATAATAATATTTCAATGTTAAAAACAAAGAATTGGAAAAACAAATTTTCTCAACATTTGAGGGTACTGCTTGGATACTGAGTGTGTTGTCGGGAATACGTTGCGGGCTCCGCATGTACCAGGGTCGCACGCGCTACTCGCTACTTTACTTCGATCTCGGTGCCAGTGTCGGCGGCGTTGGCAGTTGTAGTCGTAGCCCCACTCGTTCGGCGGCCGTCGCTGTAACAGCATAAGCTCCTGTTACATGTGGAAATGATCGCCCTCAGACATGGTCTCTATAACGTCCCAGCAACGTCCCTGCAACGTTCCTACAACGTCAAATGAATCAACCGAGTAAAAACCCAACCGTCACGAGCCGTGATTCATGCGTCGTTTTCAGCAAAACTTCTATCATCCAAATTATGCGCATTACGATTACTGATAAGTCAACAAATTTATAAATCTACTCCTTAAATGCAAATAAAAAGTGCTTAAAGCTTTGCTGTACAGTAGGGTCGAGGGATCGTAGAACGATTGGTCCCCGGCACTCCCCGAGGAAAAACGAAGCTATTGGTCTCCGCCTTAAAAATACAAAATATTTTTTAAGCATAAAATGTTCTTTATATAAAAACCTAGTGTCACAATGTTTGTCCGGGATAAACTGAGATGAAATTTTTTACATAGTGTGTAATTTGGTCCAAATTAAAAGATAGGCTAATTTAAAAAGGTAGAAGACCAACCCCGGGAGGTGCTCAAACGAGAATTTTGAGATTTCCGATGAAAATTTTTGTTTATAAATGGTTGCCATGGGTTTTTAAGCTATTATAATAAGAATAAAAAAAAACTAATTTTTAAATATAAATTATAATATAATATCTAAGTACAGGCTAAACTCTGGAACTACTTATCAGATATTCTTGATTTTTTTTTTAAATGAAAGAGGATTTCACGGAGAAGCTTTATTTGAAAGAAAATTTTAGAAAAATCCACCGGTGTATAATATATTGGTTGCTATTGGTTAATCGGGCATGTTTAATGATTTATATTATTATCTTTTGTCAATATACATATTATTATAAATAATAGTAGTTCCAGAGTTTAGTCTTTATAGTTATAGTCTGTGTATATGTATAGTTACCTATATAATATAATTAATGCTTGAGGGTAGATTAGACCTCTGGGAAGAAGATAGGTTATTTACAAAGGGTTAAATTTGTTTTTTTGTTTTTGTTCATCGGATTTTAGTACTGTTAGGAGGTTATTATAGGATTTTGTATAAATGTATTATATTAATCCACCGTAGGTGGAATTAAGGGGGCTGCACCGTAACTTTTTTTAAGGAGTACTATTTAGGCAATTCATGTGACATATAAATTAATACTGTATCTGTGTGTGAGTAGTAAATGAACATTAGTATGCATAATCCGTTATTGTTTCCGAGAATCGCTGCAAGTCGAGTGCGCCGGAAGCAACTCTCACACGCACAAGCACATGTCAATACATCGCCAAAAATGGAATATATTCTTGTTTGCATGACTATGAAACTACTAAAAGCGGTAGTAAATTAATCATACTTCCCGAAGTTCGATTATAATTTCGAAAAAATGGTTGATTTTATAAACTTCTAGACTATGCTTCTTAGGAATCACTTTTTTTAATTTAAAATCAGATTTGCCCAAAATAAATACAAATGTAATGAAATTATTTCATGGGATTTCTAAAAAAAAAAATGGTTATTTAAAGGTCATTTTAAATTGAAAATTGAAAATCGACTTAATAAGAAACATAGATATTTTATCAATGAATTCAAACATGTATAAAAAATTTAAATCAGACATTCCGAAGTATGTGCAATTCACCACCGCTTATTTTAATATGTAATTTCGTCCGAATTTGAAATTAAAATGTCTGTAAAAAATAACTGTGTTCATATATTTTTTAGATTTTTTGGTTACAGTATGAACTATTTATGAGAACCTTTGTTTTAAATTTGCAATCCTTAGCTATAAAAACTGAACATTTTATAATTTATTAATTACAATGATTGATAATTTTCGAGATTTTGATCAATTTTGTCAGTACATTTCTTGTAATTTTATGGAAAATAATGCTAAAATGTAGGAACTATATTACCTATATTATTTTACTAAAAAACATTTCTTATAAAACTGCTTGCCCAAATTTTTACTTCAGGGTGTTGTTCGATGTTTAAATGTATATGTAGGTAGATAGGTATTTTAGAAGATTTTGTTTGTCTTAGACATTATAATATATACTATGTAGTATTATGCTACAACAAATATTTTTCTTGATTCGATTTATCATTTTCTTGAAATATAGTATAGAGTGTAGACTGTAGATCAATCAAAAATATTTAAGTATAAAGTATTTTTATAGTTTCTATACCAAACAAAAAAAAAATCACACATTTAAATGGTTTATTTGATAAGCAAAACAAATAATTTGTTAAGTGACAAATAGTTACTTAACAAGATTATGAACAATAAAGTTCACTTCTGGTTAACAGCGATAAAATTAATGTTATTTTATTTCCCGAAAAACGATAAATTCGTAGTCGAGGACATATTATTTTATTATGTATATTAATATATTACAAATTTCTACTGACGAAACATTATTTTACAATTTTTTTAGGTTTCGAAATCAGTATATAATTTAATTTCGCCTAAATAATATGCATTATAATATATACAATTTTGTTGAAATTTGCGAAAATATGTACCTACCTACCTAGTAATCGTCAAATATGCAGAAATATGAATAACATAGATATTGCTGTTACTAGCTACGGTTCGTAATATTATTACTGAAAAAAAAGGTGCTCTGCTGTACAGTAGGTTACAAGTGGGTCACTGTATATAATGGATAGTATTAAATTTGAATTCAATAATATAATATCATTGTATAAGAAAAAAGATTATGAGCGGAGACGGTATGTCAGTCTAGATATAAGACATATTATATTCTTATATATCGTATTAAAAAAAATTTACCTATAATAAATTCCAAATTAATCATATCATAATATCCATTAGGTACCTACTTATAATGCGTTATACGTCAACAACAAACCCTGATACTATCATAGTCCCATACTCCATAGGTATATAATAGTGTACTTTAGAAGTTTCAAGTATCCACGAATAATATTACACAATCACAACAAAATAGCTAAAATAGATATTCTAGTTTTTTTTTTAATGTAATTTTATCCAAAGTTGAACTTAAAATGACTATAAAAATAAACTGTGTTTTTGTAGTTTTTAGATTTTTTGGTAACAGAATTAACTACTTACATGGAATCTCGTTTTAAATTTTCAATCCTTAGATATAAAAGTAAAATATTTTATACATTTTTAACCACAAAATAATTATTCAAATTTAAATTTGATACATTTTGTCAAAATTCGATCTTTAATAGCTTATGAAAAAAATTGTGCAATGTATTTTTAATTTTTTTTTTCAACTGCTATTGTAACCATTTATTAGGAGACAAGTATTACATTTTTACACTTTTCGGCCCAACAGATAAAACTTTATTGATATTCATAGAAAAAAAAATGAATAAAATTGAAATATGAAATTGTCCCTAAACAGCTCAAAACAAGTCAAAATATTTTGAAAATTTTATCAAGTATAAGAATTGATAAAATAAACATTCAGTGAAATTTTCATGTATCTACAATTATTCGTTTTTGAATTACAATAAAATAAGTAAATCTCTACATGAAAAATCAGGTAA